GTCAGAGGAGCCCGACTGGAACCAGATGGATCGGGTCGGTTCCGCTCACAGCATGTTGAACTCGCTGAGGTCGGCGTGGACGAGCCGGGCCCGCTGGAACATCCGCTGCATGTCCCGGACCACCTGCAGGTACAGCTGCCGGGCCTTGGACTCGCTCAAAGTCGCGTGCTTCAGCAGAGGAGCCGGCCTGAACCCAACAGAACCAGAACTTTCGTCAGCATCCGGCTGGACGCACACCGAATTGGAACCGGTTCCGGTTCTTACCTGTTGTCTTTTCCGATGAAACCCATTAGCAGAACGTGACTCCGGAGCAGAACCGGTTCTGGACTGGGAACACCGGCCGCCTGCAGTCTGGAACAAGAACCGGTTCTGATGATTCTACGAGGTTCTACTGGGTTCCACTGGGCTCTACTGGGCTCTGAGTGTCAGGCCGAGGTTCTGACCTGATCAGGTTCCTCATCTCTTTCTCGGCCCAGGTTCTCACCATCTTCCTGGGATTTCCTTTACAGTAGCCGTGGCGGAACCTGCAGAACAAAACCGGAACCAATGTGGGCTCAGATCCACAGAGGCTACTCTTATTTTGAAAGACACAGGAAGCGGACTGACCTGAATTCTCCGCTGACGTACTTGTCCCGGTCCTTGAACTGCAGGATGGACGTTTTGTAGATCTTGATAGCTCTGCTCTCTCCACCCGATGTGCTGGCGTGGTAAACGTTGGCCTGAGCGACCGCAGGAACCCACTGGTTACCACGGCAACCAACCCGCCCGCCCCGAACCGGTCCGAACCGGTCCGAACCGCTCTGCACCAGAACCCAGGTCACCTCACCTCCTTCCCGGTGCTGATGCAGCCGTTGATCTCGCTGATGATTCCGCGACTCAGCATCTTGAACAGAATCATCCGAGTCCGAGGGTCCAACACCTGCAGAGGAACGCAACGGGTCACTTCCTGTCAGCCGGTACAGGGTCACTTCCTGTCAGCCGGTACAGGGTCACTTCCTGTCAGCCGGTACAGGGTCACTTCCTGTCAGCCGGTACAGGGTCACTTCCTGTCAGGGTCACTTCCTGCCATCCACAATCCTGACCTGTTCTACGGTGGCTCGGTCTGATTTGTCCTTCACTCGGTACCTGTGAAGGGAACCAATCAGAAGGTTAGAGAGGAGTCACATGACCAGCAGGTGAGCAACTGCAGGTGAGGGCAGACGTACGTTCCGGCCTCCTTCTGCCTCTGAATGGCCGTCACCTTGTTGGTCACGCTGTCCTCCAACTTCAGCTGGTCTGCAGGAACAACACAGCAACTCAGGTACAGGACACACCTGAGGGGGCGGAGCCACCACACAGGTGACACTTGTACAGAAAGCAGGACCAGATCCGACCCGGATCAGCGCTAACGGTTAGTGTTTACTGTAGCGGCTCCACTGGTAGCTAGCAGCTACATTAGCAGCCAGCCTAACCCGCTAACCCTAATCCCAGCTAGCAGCTACATTGGCTGGGTTCTCCATTAGAACCTTTCTGCTGATCCGGTTCTGGTAACTGGGTCGCTGTGATGATGACGGCATCACATGGAACCGCGCAGGTTCTGTGACGCAGAGCCGCACCCAGATTGATCTTCTGCTCATATTTCCTCAGAACCTTGTCAGTCGGAGTCCATGACGCCGTCTTGCTGGACGGGTTCTGTCGGTTCGCCTGAGGAGGAACACAGAACCTTATACCGGACCCATTAGAACCTTCCTGATCAAAGGACGCCTACGCTGGTAAGCATGGTAACAACAAGCAGAGTCTGACCTGACAGCTGGTTCCGGTCTGGTTGATTCTTTTGGTCCAATCAGCTGGAGAGGTCCACTCCCAGTCCTCATCTTCATCCTCACCATCCTCATCCTCATCCTCATCATCCATCCACTCTGAGGTCAGCTGGGCCGTGATGTCATTAATGACATGCCCCGATTGGCTGCTACATGAACAACAATCGAGACAGAAACAGCCAATCAGATAGCAGCTGGAGGAGAGACTGGAACCAATCAGAGCCCTGATTGGTTAGCCGAGTCAGAAACCCGAAAACATTTTTCAGAAACAATGAACCAAACATCAAATGATTCCAGGAAATGAAATGTTGTGACTCATTCATTTAGATTCTTCAGTTACTGAAGAGGAAGGATCTCCTGTAGCAGTCTGCGCTACAGTGAACCTGAAGAAGCTTCTGACTGAAGGGTAGGGTGAGGGGTTAGGGTTTCAGCGTTGGCCAAAATCTTCTTATTTTATGAGGAATCCATCTTGGCATCATCATCTCCAGAGGTTCTGCAGTCAGAACCAGAACAGAACCAGAACCAGAACAGAACCAGAGCAGAACCAGAGCAAAACCAGAACAGAACCAGTACAGAACCAGAGCAGAACCAGAGCAGAACCAGAGCAGAACCAGAACAGAACCAGAGCAGAACCAGAACAGAACCAGAGCAGAACCAGAACAGAACCAGAGCAGAACCAGAACAGAACCAGAACAGAACCAGAGCAGAACCAGAACAGAACCAGAGCAGAACCAGAACAGAACCAGAGCAGAACCAGAACAGAACCAGAGCAGAACCAGAGCAAAACCAGAGCAGAACCAGAACAGAACCAGAGCAAAACCAGAGCAAAACCAGAGCAGAACCAGAGCAGAACCAGAACAGAACCAGAACAGAACCAGAGCAGAACCAGAACAGAACCAGAGTAGAACCAGAGCATAACCAGAACAGAACCAGAGCAGAACCAGAGCAGAACCAGAGCAGAACCAGAGCAGAACCAGAACAGAACCAGAACAGAACCAGAGCAGAACCAGAACAGAACCAGAGCAGAACCAGAACAGAACCAGAGTAGAACCAGAGCAGAACCAGAACAGAACCAGAACAGAACCAGAGCAAAACCAGAACAGAACCAGAGTAGAACCAGAGCAGAACCAGAGCAGAACCAGAACTGAACCAGAGTAGAACCAGAGCAAAACCAGAGCAGAACCAGAGCAGAACCAGAACAGAACCAGAACTGAACCAGAGCAAAACCAGAACAGAACCAGAGTAGAACCAGAGCAGAACCAGAGCAGAACCAGAACAGAACCAGAGTAGAACCAGAACAGAACCAGAGTAGAACCAGAGCAGAACCAGAGCAGAACCAGAACAGAACCAGAGCAAAACCAGAGCAGAACCAAAGCAGAACCAGAACAAAACCAGAGCAGAACCAGAGTAGAACCAGAGCAGAACCTGAGCAGAACCAGAACTGAACCAGAGCAAAACCAGAACAGAACCAGAGAAGAACCAGAGCAGAACCAGAGCAGAACCAGAACAGAACCAGAGCAAAACCAGAACAGAACCAGAGCAGAACCAGAGCAGAACCAGAGCAGAACCAGAACAGAACCAGAGCAGAACCAGAACAGAACCAGAGCAGAACCAGAGCAGAACCAGAGCAGAACCAGAACAGAACCAGAGCAAAACCAGAGCAGAACCAGAGCAGAACCAGAACAAAACCAGAGCAGAACCAGAGCAGAACCAGAGCAGAACCTGAGCAGAACCAGAACAGAACCAGAACAGAACCAGAACAGAACCAGCAGAACCAGAACAGAACCAGAGCAGAACCAGAACAGAACCTGAGCAGAACCAGAACAGAACCAGAACAGAACCAGAGCAGAACCAGAACAGAACCAGAGCAGAACCAGAACAGAACCAGAGCAGAACCAGAACAGAACCAGAGCAGAACCAGAACAGAACCAGAACAGAACCAGAGCAGAAACAGAACAGAACAAGAACAGAACCAGACCAGAACCAGAACAGAACCAGAGCAGAACCAGAACAGAACCAGAGCAGAACCAGAACAGAACCAGAGCAGAACCAGAACAGAACCAGAGCAGAACCAGAACAGAACCAGAACAGAACCAGAGCAGAAACAGAACAGAACAAGAACAGAACCAGACCAGAACCAGAACAGAACCAGAGCAGAACCAGAGCAGAACCAGAACAGAACCAGAGTAGAACCAGAGCAGAACCAGAACAGAACCAGAGCAGAACCAGCCTTCTTATTCAGGCTTCTGAGCCTCTTGAGCTCCTGGTTCTGGTGGTTCTGAAGGTCCTGGTGGTTATGAAGGTTCTGGTGGTTCTGAAGGTCCTGGTGGTTCTGATCAGGCTGAGTTCTGTTCTGTTTGTGAGGCAGGTTAAGATGGCGTCTCCGTCTCCATAGCGATAAGCAAACTGCAGGGTTCGGATGGGCTCGTTCAGGTCCAATAGGCGGCTCTCCGGGACCTTCATGATGTGGGTTGTGATGGCAACAGGTCTACAGTTTTCTGTGGTACCGGAACCAGGCAGGTTGAAGAGATGCTGCAGAATCCCACAGAACCGACACCATCTGGACCTGGTTCTGGTTCCGACTCTCCAGACCCGGAATGAGGTTCTGATCTGACCCGGTCTCAGCGGCTTAAACAAAGGAAAAGAACCAGAACCAAACGGTTCTGCTCGTTCGGAACCGGTCTGCCTCACCTGTCCTCCTCTGCGTCATCAAACTGGCCAGAGACGCTCGTGACCTGTTCCATGACGTCACAGCGCACAGAAACTCAAACAGGTTCGATCTCACCGATCCTGACCAGAACCAGAACCAAACTCCTCCAGCTCGCGCCACCGCGTGGCTGAGTTACTTCCGGGTTGCGTGCGTCACTACGGCAACACGGATGTGACGTATTTCCAAACGCGGCTCAGATCCGAAGTTTCGGAAGAAACTCGCCGATTCTGGTGTTTGTCAGAGTGCAGGAGGTTCTGGTACCGACTCAGATCTGAGTTCTTCTGGGAGCAGAACCAGAAGAACTCAGATCTTTTATTAAAAATAATCTGCTATAAGCTCATATATAATCTGACTCTGAGGTGTGTGAAAGATAAGCTCTGAGTGAACTGGGAACACTGGGAACCACTCTCCACTCCGGCCGGCAGGGGGCGCTGAATAAACGGAACTCTGTGGCTGCGGATCCGACTCAGGACGATCCGGTTCCGTAAACATGTGCGGACCTGAGCCGAACCCAGCGAAACCTGCTGGTCTGTGAGCGGTCCATTTTTGGACGAAAAGAACCGGGTCAGCTCCCAGGTGGAGCAGCTGCGCTTCAACTACAAGGTAAGACATGCGCATGCGCATGAACACGTGCTGAGTTGTTTGGGTCGGAACCACCTGAGAGCCACATCGGACAGCGCCAGAACCCGAATCGAACAATGAGTTCATCAGAACCCCGGGGGTCCAGAACTTGAAATAAAGATTTGTTACTTCCGTTTCAACACCGAACCGAACCTGCTGATCCATCTGCGGTCAGATCGAGCTCAGATGCTACTGGAAAAGTATTCATACCATCCAGTAATAAATGGAAGCATCTCATCATCATCCTACCAAAGTTTGAAATGAAAAGCTGCAGATGCAGCTGATCCTTTCCTACAATATCTAGCTGTTAATATCTGAGACACAGAGGCGTTTGTTAGAATAAAACCGGATCAGATGGAAACAGCTTTTATTGGAATTAAACACTAATCCAGATCACTGGAACGGTTTTTGTGCATTAATACTTTATATGTTATCAGCATCAGCCACAACGTGTCACTGAAATGATGGGATATGATTCATATGCACTGATATTACAGCTTCACATCGTATCGCTAACATCTATTTAGCAAGTTTAGTCGACAAGAGTGGAATTAAACTAACATATTTTAACGTATAGGGACAAAAAACCAAAACATATTTAGTCCTGATTAACCACCAAATAATAACTTGTTTACAGTAAGGACAGTGCAGAGCAAACTAAACCATCATTCCATTGACAAGCTGCTAGTAATCCAGCTGCTTCATGAAAGAAAATCAATGAAATAAAGATTATTGTCATCTGTGATGAAATAAAACACCTGAAACTAAACTTCCACAGGCAGGACGGATTGAGAAGAAATCTGCTGACTCAGCAGATTGTGACTGCTGACTCAGCAGATTGTGTGTTGATGCATAAGGTAGGATGGACTGACGGGTAGCACAGATAAACGGAACGCCTGAACGCTGAGCGGACCGGGACCAGAATGTGAGCTGACCCAGATCTATGTGACTCAGACATGTGATCTAGACAGAACATGATGGCAGAACCAGAACCTGCAGCAGCTGGACCAGGTCAGAACCAGGGACTCACCCCAGCAGCAGCAGGTTCTTAACTCAGATCTATCAGAACCTCTCTGAGCCGGTCAGGTCCAGTTTATTGGACCAGAACTTTGGTTCTGATCGTCTGTCATCCCGCAGCATTACCTGCCCAGGTGAGATCAGCAGTTGTAGGCTGCAGCCTGGTTCTGCTGGACCTCTAAGAGAACCAGAACCACTGGTTAGTTTCCTCTAGGTGGGACAAACTGGACTGCTTCCTGACCCGGTCACCAAAACCAATCCAGTTCTGGGTCTGCAGGAAGACATTTTGCTGAATGCTCTCACCTGCACAGGTATCTGTGCTGCTACCTGAGTGTGGCTCCGCCCCCTCTCACCTGGAGTCCATCCTGAACAGCTTCAGCAGCTTCTTCCTGCTCAAGCAGCTGCCATTATATGAGCTGCTGGACAAAGACTTCCTGCAGAGCGCTGTGTACCAAGGTAACGCACCTGTCTCACACTCACCTGTCTCACACTCACCTGTCTCACACTCACCTGTCTCTGTCTCCAGGCAGCGTGTACGCTCTGTCTTTCAGAACTCGGATCGACGAGGATAACTGCGTTGCTCTGATGCCAAACGGTAAGCCGTGAGTTCAAGTGACATCACTTCCTGGTTACCTGTTGAGAGCCAGGTGTGTATGTGTTCAGGTCACCTGGTGTTCTCTCTGGATAAGGACGCCTTCGAAACTCTGGGCCTTGAGGGCCAACCTTCCAGATCCAACAGAACCAGCAGCAGATACGGTATCGGTTATGGTTCTGATTCTGTGTCAGGCTCGGTCCGGAACGGGTTGTTTACCTGTGTGTACCTGTGCAGAGGTCACGGTGGACCTGAGGGATGGCAGGATGGCTCCGGGTGGGCGGGGCTACCTGAGGCTGCTCCAGGCTCTGACGTCACGCCTGAAGCTGCAGATGGACTTCCTGATCTCGCATCATCCGGGTGAGTGACGTGACCTCTACCGACCTCTGACCCCTCGGGTCCCATCCTGGCTGATCGCCCTGTGTCCGGCAGGGGGCAGGGCCTCGCTGCGCCCCCTCCTATCTCGCTGCAGTTGGTCGGAACGCAGACCGGCGGTCGGCTGTCGTGCCCTGAGCCACTTGGTCTGCCCCGCCTTACGGTCATGTGACCCCCACGACCTCCTGGAGTGGATCGGCGCCGTGGACGCCGCCGTCAGCCGGTGAGCCTAGCAGCCGTTCCCACGCTCTGCTGGGTCACGACCGGGAGTCACTCTTCTTCTGTGTTTACAGTGAGAATTCATCCAGTGACTTCCTGTCTACGCTCACCTGTCTGGAACCGGAGGCGACCGTGAGCCGGGCGGTGAGCGTGTCGGCCTGCGGCCTGCTGCTGCCGCAGGACCTGCAGCACCTGGTGGAGGAGCTGAGGTCAGAACACACACATACACAACTCACCTCACCTGAGCACCTTGTGACTCACCTGTCTTCCAGGCGTCACCTGCAGGAGGCCCACCGACTCCTGGGCTTCTGTGACGGTTCATGGCTTCACCGACAGTCCGGTGTCCTGGGGCGACGGCGAGCGCGATGTCCTGACCGGAGGTCACGACCTCTACAACTTGCTGATGTTCCCCGACCACACATACCGCCTGCACCTGGCTGCTGGGGCACAGAACACCTGCCCGCCTTGAGGCATTCGCCCGCTCTGATGGACTTCCCTACCACCTCCAACGTCCAGCCGGGCCTCAGAGGTGGCGGGCCCCTAACGTCCCAGATTCTGATGGTTCGGTTCTGGTCTGTACTGGAACCAACTGGGCTAGGATCTGAGTTTGGCCTGGATTTACTGGGAGGAGAAAAGTGGACTCGTGTTCTGAACCGCCGGATTCTCTTAGGATTCTCTGTCATCTGCAGCTGTTTCAATAAATGGATCCAAGTTCTAGTATTTTGTGTCTATCATCATGGAAAGGGGTCTCCCAACCTGGTCCTCAGGGGCTACGTCCTCCATGTTGAGGCGGTTCCCGGCTCCTGAAGTTCCTAGAGGCTGAGGAAGTGATGTCATCACTGGATCAGTGGGCTGGAGTGGGAACAGCAGGCCCTGAGGACCGGGGCTGGGAGACCCCTTATATTGCAACGTGTTGTGATAATTGTGTTCACACAACTATTAGCGTTAGCATGCTAACCCCTAGGGTCGCATGTTTTTTTTTATTACTGTAAAACATTTTCATGACTTTGATGAACTTTGTCATGTTTTCCATTTTCCTGTACAAACAGGAAGTACAAACTATGTGCAGGAAGTACAAACAGGAAGTGGAAAATAGCAAAATCAGAAACTGAGAACTTTGTTCGTCTCAGAGCAATCGTCAACTGGAAGGACAACATGATGAGAAACAGTCGACTGAACGGTTAGCATTAACTACTGCTAACTGTTATGGGTTTGGCATTAGCTTTTGCTAACTTATGTATTTAATGTTAGCGTCTGCTAACTTTTACACAATAGACTACTAACGCTTATGCATTCGGCATTAGACCGGTTCTGATGGGAGGATTCTGAGCATCAAACCCGACCAGAACATTTTCAGAACCACACAGACAGTCATGTGACTTTAATGTGACACAAGCGCCAACAGTCCCATTTACCCAGAATGCATCAGGAGTGTTCACTGGAGTTGGATCAGACCTACGGGAGGCGCTGCACATAGTCTCAGCCTTTATGGACCAGAACCGCTGGCCAGGTTTAGTCTAGAACCTCCATCCAGGTCAAATCCCATTCTCTCCGGCAGATGTGAGAACAGGAACCTCAGAGGAACCCAGTCCGGCCCGTACAGAACCAAAACCAGATGTATTAGGACCAGACACAACAAGAACCGCCCCATGCTGAACCAGAGTGGGGTGGAACCAGGAGTCCGTCCAGAACAAGCGCGTATGCTCAGACACAATGGGTGACACCAGGACACGTCCACCAAGGCTGGACCACCACATCTTGGTCCTGAAACAGAGGCAGAACCGGTCCGGTTCTGGTTCTAGCAGAGTTCTGTTCTCTTCTGCAGAAACTGCAGGATGGAGTCCGTTCCTTGCAGGGATCCCCAGATACGCTTCAGGGCTTCGCACTCACGCTCGTTGGCTTGCTCCAAGGCGCCGCGGCTGGTGCTCCTCATCAGGGCTTTGGACTCCTGCAGAACCTGCCAGAACCAAAACACACTGACCCACCAGAACCCACCAAGCTGCCGGTAAAATGTGGTTAGAAAATCCCTCACCTGAGAATCGACGGCCACCAGCTCCTTGATCCGTAGCATCACTTCCTGCGTGAACGTTCCCGGCCACAACACCTGCGACACCAGACCCTTAAGACACGCCTCCTGGGCCGTCAGCTTCCTGCCGCCCAGCAGCAACTCGTTAGCCTGCAACACACGAACCAGGGGACGAGAGAGAACTCGTCTTCACTGAACCTGACTAATCAAATCAAATCAAATTTTATTTGTATAGCACATTTCAGCAGCAAGGCATTTCAAAGTGTTTTACATCATAAACACAAAGTCATGCAACATGGAATAAACAATACTTTGTTACATATTACATTTCAAATACAATTCTAAACGTGTGTTTTTAGTTGAGATTTAAAGGATTTCCACTGTTTTACAGTTTTCTGGAAGTTTGTTCCAAATTTTTGGTGCAAACTTCAAAGCCGGGACCATGATGCTGGGCTAGTCCCCAGTCCCTAGTCCCCGGTCCCTAGTCCCAGTCCCTAGTCCCCGGTCCCTAGTCCCAGTCCCTAGTCCCCGGTCCCTAGTCCCCGTTCCCTAGTCCCCAGTCCCTAGTCCCAGTCCCTGGTCCCCAGTCCCCGGTCCCTAGCCCCCAGTCCCTAGTCCCAGTCCCTAGTCCCCGGTCCCTAGTCCCAGTCCCTAGTCCCAGTCCCTAGTCCCCGGTCCCCAGTCCCTAGTCCCCAGTCCCTGGTCCCCAGTCCCTAGTCCCCAGTCCCTAGTCCCCGTTCCCTAGTCCCCAGTCCCTAGTCCCAGTCCCTGGTCCCCAGTCCCCGGTCCCTAGTCCCCAGTCCCTAGTCCCAGTCCCTAGTCCTTAGTCCCCGGTCCCTAGTCCCCAGTCCCTAGTCCCAGTCCCTAGTCCCCGGTCCCTAGTCCCCAGTCCCTAGTCCCAGTCCCTAGTCCCCGGTCCCTAGTCCCCAGTCCTAGTCCCAGTCCCTAGTCCCCAGTCCCTGGTCCCCAGTCCCTAGTCCCCGTTCCCTAGTCCCCAGTCCCTAGTCCCAGTCCCTGGTCCCCAGTCCCCGGTCCCTAGTCCCCAGTCCCTAGTCCCAGTCCCTAGTCCCCGGTCCCTAGTCCCCAGTCCCTAGTCCCGGTCCCTAGTCCCAGTCCCTGGTCCCCAGTCCCTAGTCCCCGGTCCCCAGTCCCTAGTCCCCAGTCCCTGGTCCCCAGTCCCTAGTCCCTAGTCCCCGTTCCCTAGTCCCCAGTCCCTAGTCCCAGTCCCTGGTCCCCAGTCCCCGGTCCCTAGTCCCCAGTCCCTAGTCCCAGTCCCTAGTCCTTAGTCCCCGGTCCCTAGTCCCCAGTCCCTAGTCCCAGTCCCTAGTCCCCGGTCCTTAGTCCCCAGTCCCTAGTCCCAGTCCCTGGTCCCCAGTCCCCGGTCCCTAGTCCCCAGTCCCTAGTCCCTAGTCCCCAGTCCCTAGTCCCCGGTCCCTAGTCCCCAGTCCCCGGTCCCCAGTCCCTAGTCCCTAGTCCCCGGTCCCTAGTCCCCAGTCCCTAGTCCCCGGTCCCTAGTCCCCAGTCCCTAGTCCCTAGTCCCCAGTCCCTAGTCCCCGGTCCCTAGTCCCCAGTCCCTGGTCCCCAGTCCCTAGTCCCCGGTCCCTAGTCCCCAGTCCCTAGTCCCCGGTCCCTAGTCCCCAGTCCCTAGTCCCAGTCCCTAGTCCCCAGTCCCTAGTCCCTAGTCCCCAGTCCCTAGTCCCCGGTCCCTAGTCCCCAGTCCCTGGTCCCCAGTCCCTAGTCCCCGTTCCCTAGTCCCCAGTCTCAACTCACCGAGGCCGGGCCCATAACGCGAGGGAAGGTGAAGGAGCTGCAGCCATCAGGCGTCTGGCCGCAGGAGGAGTATGGCATCTGGAACCAAGCCTTCTCATTGGCCCACACCACATCGCACAGAGGCAAAAGGGCGGCGCCAAGTCCGAGTGCCGGGCCGTTCACTGCCACTACAATAGGCTTCCTGAACTGGATGAAGGTGTTGACGAAAGTCCTGAGGAGACAAAGAGGAGGTGACATGGAGGACACGGAGGCGGTGACTTGTAGTCATTGCGTCTCCATGTTACCTGATGGTTTCAGCCATCTTGATGCTCTCCTTCTTCCTGTCATCAGCCAGTCGCCTGATGAAGTACAGGAAGTCGAGGCCGTAGCAGAAGACGCTGCCGACGGCGCCGATCAACACCAGCTTGCTGTCATCGGACGCTGCTGTCGCCATGGCGCTCTGGATCTCCTTCATCACCTGTTAGACAGCAGAGGGTGGGTCCACAGAACATGGCGGCAGTGGGGGCGTGGCCTGGGGGCGTGGCGGCGATGGGCCGTGGCCTCACCTCCGGGTTGAGTGCGTTGTTCTCAGAGCTCTTGGTGGACAGCAGGATGTAGGTGAAGCCATCTTGCTTTTTCACCACGATGTCGCGGTAGCGGTAGGCGCTCTCCGTCTGGCGGACGCTGACCCTCAGCCGCTTGTCGAACGTGGAGCGCTCCTCCAGGCGGCGCTTTCCACGGCTCCGCTTGCCCCGGTAACGGCCTCAATCAGTGCCGTGTTCCCTGGAGACAGAAACAGGAAGTCAGGCCTGAACGCCACCTGGACAGGTAACTTCCTGTGGGGAAACGGAACAGTGCTCCAAAGTCTGATGGAAATTTAATAGCAACGGATTATTCTGGGTACAAAGCTCTAGAGAACCCAAAGGGGCCGACCAGTTTAAAACGTGTCCAAAAGCAACCAGGCTGCATAAGGACTGGCAGGAATCCAGTAGTGATGTCACAACGCCACGGATTATTCCTCCCAACAGAAACTACAATCCGAGCTTTGCTATGAGGAACGCTCAAACTTTCTGTCTTTTCTGTATTTTATCATTTAGCATCTCTAGGCAGGTAAATCTAGACGGTATCTACAAACAGAATAAAGTGTTGAACTGAATCAGAGGCCAGACAGTGGAGGGGATTTCCTGTTCAGCTGTTTACAGATTAGCTGGTGTTAGTAAGACTCACCGGAGCTGCAAAGGGAGCGGACTGCCGCCGGGGTCATGGGGGTCACAGGAGTTGTTGGCGGCAGCTGTGGCAGTGGGTTCTGGTTCCGGGGCCGGGTCCCCATGCGGGCCCTCTCCTGGCCGGGCGCCAGCTGGATGGCGGCCGGTTTCTCCAGCAGGGCGACTTCGGGTGGGACCGGGTGCGCCTCCTGAGCGCCCCCCTCCAGGCTTTGCGCCGCCTCACTGGGCGAGTCCTCTGAATCCGGCCGGGCGTTCATGGGGCTCCGAGGAACCAGGATCTTGATCCCGCTCTTGGCCAGGTCCACGCCTCGGCGAGCGGGGCCAAAGGAGTCCGGGGGTGGGGCCTCCGTTGGGGGCCGAGGCTCCGGTCGGACGGCGCCGCAGGGGGGTCCACGGGTGGAGCGCAGCAGGGCGGCGTCCCGTTCCAAGTGCTGTCGGTTGAAGTCGTGGACGTAGGACATGCAGGCAGACAGGTGAGTCTCCGGCTCCCAGGTGTCGCTCTCCGAGCCGTAGCCTCTCCACCTCACCAGGTACTCCACCCGCCCTTTCCTGCTCCGCCGCCTGTCAACGATGCGCTC